TTGAATTTTTCTTTATCAAAACTATATGAAGACATTGTGATCACTAAAACTAATATTTAAAATAAAAAAAAAGGTTTTGATACCAATTGTTATGACATAAATGAAAAAATAATAATAGAAAGAAGTAGAACAAAATTAAAAATAAAAATTATGTGATTTAGCCACTATAACCTCATCCTTAGGTAGTTTGAAATATTTTTATTATTGTAATCTATGAATGCAATATATAAAAGAAAAGTGTTTTATCAATTTTACATACATAATGACTCATAACTTATCATAATAACTTATAATTTTCTATTATAACCCATTAAAGAGAATAACAACAAGATTTTAAAGTCAACCTAAATATAAGTCATCCACGAATTTAAGGCATTTCAATAAATTAAATCGTGAGATTAGAGTTGAAGATATTATTTTCTAATAAAGTTTAAAATAATTTAGATTTGTAGTCATTATTTCCTTTAAAAAGTTAATTTTGTTATGAATTGCATTAAGTTTGTCAATTTTATCATCTTTATTGATTAGCTTTTTATGTATTGTTCTAATTTATATTTTACTTTATTACATGAGTTTTGCAAAATAATTCTTTAAATTTGTTTCTTCTACTTAAGTTTTGTTGAGACCTTTGTGAAATACTTTGATTACAATTATAAATACTAGTTATCTATTTTCTAGTACTTTTATCTTCTTCAATTATAATATATATATTATTCAATTATCATGCATATAAATATATGTATTAATATAATATTATATTATAATTATATATAAAATAATACAATATTTACTTATAATATAACAATTAAAAAGTTTACTACAATATAATTTTTAATAAGTTAATAATTAAAATATTTTATTATTTATATCATTAAACATAATATAAAATATTTTTATTTAGATTTTATACAAGAGAGACGGTGCTCCTTTAAATATTTTAAATATATATATTTTTACATATAGTTAATCTATTTTTTAGTATAAAGTTAACTTTATTACTATTTTAATAATTAAATATAAAATAATTTATAAATATAATTTAAATTTATTATTAGATTAACTTTTTTTATGTTAAGCAAAATTACTCTTTTCGTCATTTAATTTTAGGGTAAAATTCATTTTCGTCTTCTAAATTTATTTTTTGGTTCATTTTAGTCCTCTAACTTTTTAAAAAATTTCAAATAGGTACTTTTCCATTAAAGACTCTAACTCAGTTAAAAAAAATTTGTTGTTTTGTAACACATGTACTGTGTATTACTATTTATCGTCTTCCTCCTCAGATCTTTGATTTTGTCTATGACACATTTTCTTCTTTCTTCTCCCTTTCATCTTTATCTTTTTATATTCAAAACTTCATCTTCTTACTATTAACACCAAGCACCCACCCCTAAATCTCAAACCATAAAAAACCTAACTTTCTAATACCTATTTTTCATCTCCGTTAAATCTGAAAACACGTTCTCATTTTTGATTTTATTGATTTTTCATGCTACTATGCCTCTCAAACCTTTATTAACAAGAATACTGTGTTCTGAAAGTTTAAAACACAATATGAAAATAAGCACAGATTGTCAGAAATAAAAAATAGATATTTAGAAAGTTGATTTGTTTTTGCTTGAAGATTTTGGGGTGGGTGTTTAGTATTAGTAGCAAGAAGATGAAGTTTTGAGTATAAGAAGATGAAGATGAAAGGGAGAAAAAAGAAGAAAAAGTGTCAAAAACAAGATCAAAGATTTGAGGAAGAAGACGATGTGTAACGCTCCAAATTTTTATAATATTAATTATTAATATATATGTATATACATACATATATATATATATATATATATATATATGTGTGTGTGTGTGTGTGTGTGTGTGTGTGTGTGTGAATGTGAATGAATGTTGGAATTTGCACTTGATTGAGTGATGATTTTAATGTGAATATGATGATGTAGATGCATATGTATATACGTGATAAATGTGGATACTGATTGTGCATTTAGGTGTGCTGGACTGATTGAAAATAGACTAAGAGTATGTTGTAGGGTATTCTTGCTATAGCTAGTGGATTCTCGCTGTAGCGAGAAGGCACTAGAAGAGAAGGGGTGAAAATGTTGTATTTCCACTGTAGAGAGAGGGTGACAGTGGAAGGTGCATTTCTGGGTGCAATCTCACTGTAGCAAGATTCTGCAGAAATTAGAGTGTAGTTTCCTCTTAAATTTTCGCTGTAGCCTCGAGAGGGTCTCGTTACAACAAGAATATCTCGCTGTAGTGAGAGTGTCGCGACCAGAGGGATATTTAAGGGGTTTAGGATTTGGGAAACATATTCCCATTCTTTTCTCTTAATCTTTCTTTCGATTCTCTCTACTCCCAACCCATTCTTACCTATTAAATTGCTTCTAAAGCCGTTCATGAGTTAGATTGAAGATTAAGATTGTGTTTGGGATACTTAGAGGTAAGTTCTAAGTGTTAGGGTTCTGGTTTTCCATCTCTCTCTCTTATTCTTTCGATTTCTCATAGAGTTTTTTGTGTATTTAGGATGAAACTCATGTGGGGAGCACATTCTTAGTTGAATTGGTGTTTGGGTCTTCGATTTGAGGTAAGGGAGACTCTACTCTATTTCTTGTGTCTTTATATCTATTATTTTGCTATGTATTATAATGTGGATGGTTGGAATGTGAGTGTTTTAATGGAATTGATTGACTGTAGTGAGATTGTGGTGAAAAGGTTGTGTAGAATATAGTGTGTATAATGGAATGGATTGTTAGACATGGATTGTGTTGGAAATGTTGTGTGTATGGAATGTGAAATGAGTGAATGTGGGCATATATATCGTGTGTGGAGATGAATACTATATGTAATTGAAAATGTGGCTGAAATGTGTGTAAATGACATGTTAGATGCGATTGTGAATATGTTGGAAGTTATGAATGGTTCAGTGATACAGTGGAGTGTGGAAGATGGAGCAGTAGAAATACCTTAGGGAAAAGAGGGTGGTAGTGACACCAACAGTGAACATGGGTGCACCACAGGCCACACATTCTCCTCCTGACTCGGCCTTTGACTAACACCTTTGTCAAGGAGCTTGTGACTGCACACGTTGTATCCGTGAGGTGGGACTAACCGACAACCATGTCTCTGACTAACACCTTTGTCGAGGAGCTCATGACCGCATACGTTGTATCCGTGAGGCGGGGGCTAACCGGCGACCATCAATGGTGTAAAACTGTGATCACAGTGCCACAGTGAACATGACTACGTGAAATAAGTGCATGCGTGTGTGTGAAATATTTGTTGGTGTAGTGAGTGCACTGTTTGTGAATTGAAATGAAATGTTTGAAAAGTATTGCTTGTGATTGATGATACTTAAGTAGAGTATGTTAGAAAACATGTGAAGTGTGCACGATGAGTCTCTATACTTGTGTATGTTGGATATTGTGGAATACTCACCCTTATATTTATTTTTCAAGTGATCAAGACGATTAACACCTGGCTTAGTGAAGAGGCAGATGAAACTGCTATAGGACTTAGGAATTTATTTTGAAAATTGATGTATTAATTAAGTCCTATAGCAATTATTGATTTAAATTGTAATTCACTCTTATTTTGAAATACTTTATTGAACTATGCTTCAGAAACCATTTGAATGAAACTTTTTTATTATTCTCGTTTATGCGAAATTCATTTATTTTAGAAATCAAATTTAAGGTGTTACACGATTAACAGTAACATACAATACACGCCACATAAAACGATAAATTTTTTTAATAGAGTTAGGTTTTTAACAAAAAAATATCTATTTGAATTTTTTTTTAAAAAGTTAGAGGATTAAAATGAATAAAAAAAATTAGAGTACAAAAACAAATTTTACTTTAAAATTAAGGGACGAAAGTAATTTTGTTATTTACCAATTAGGTTTGATAATAGATATAGCTTTTAAAATAATTACCATAAAATTGATTATTTTTGCTAATATGATAATTTGTAATTGAATAATAATATAAAATGTAATATATTGTCAATACATTTTAAATTAAATTATGATTTGCACATAGAAATTAAATATAACAATAATAATAATAATATTATTATTATATATACAACTTTAATATGAACTATAAAATTATAAAATAATATACTTGAAATCACATAAAGTAAAATTATAAAATTAATAAATCAAAATAAATTAGAAATACAAGAATAATTAAAATATTTAAATAGTTTGAATAAAGTCTCTTAACATTTTATAAAAGCAATTACAACTATTACTTTTATAAGATAAATATAAACTTGTAATAATATTATTGTTTATAGAAGTAATTAATTGCTTTAAAAGAAAACATCAATATAATAATTCTTTATATTTTTTCTAACATTTTATACATGTTTAATTTCTTTATTTTATATTTAATTTATTATAAATTTAGTATTTTTTTGTGATTTTGAAATTACTGAAATATTATTATTTTTATAATTTATCCAAATTATATTATTTAATTATTACTTTTTTAATTTACATATTATCTTATTTTCATTTTAAATTTTCTGTAATCAAATGAGTTTTTAATTTTAAATTATTATTTTATATTGATATTATTTTAAATATTATATATATATATATGTATATGAATTTAATATTTTTTGGATAGTATATAAGAGTAATATAATTAATTTGAAATAAAATATTATCAAATAATAACATGAATATATTTTATACACATATTTAAATTTAGTTAGTATAAATAATAAAGACAATGTTTGGGATTTGTTAGGCCTGTAACTTAGTTTGTTTGTTTTGTGTTTTTTAACCTCTTCTTATAGAAAAAAAATAAAAATAAAGACAATAATTTGTTAAAGGAGCTTTAAAATTTGCTAGTCAAGGCTATAAAATAAAATTGCTAGTGAAAATTTAACAAGTAATGTTTTGTGAACCCGCAATATAGCCGCGTAATTATATTCAGAATCCTGGTTTCGCGCCTAAACGAGCACACCACTGAAGTAGAGACCCAATATGAAGTCTTAGCATCTCAGGTTCTGAAATTGAAGTGAATGTAAAAGGAAAAATGGTCTCTGCAACAAACCCTAACCCTAAAAATGTGTACCACATCGGAGGTCTGCAAGTGGAATTTCCCTACCAACCGTACGGGTCTCAATTTGCATTTATGGGCAGAGTAATCTCCACCCTTAACCGAGCTCAGAGAGAAGGCCATTGTCACGCTTTGCTCGAGTCTCCAACTGGCACTGGCAAGTCCCTTTCTCTTCTCTGTTCCTCTCTCGCTTGGCAGAACCATTGTAAATCTAAACAACCCCACCTCAAGCCCGCCCCGGAGGCAATCCCCGATCCTCTGGCTCATGGAGGCGGATTTGTTCCCGAAGAGGTTTCACCTTCTTCTGGTAACTATCTATTCTCACCGACATTTCCATTATTTGGTCTCTGCTTTTCTTAGCAAATTTTCCTGATTTCAGCATCAGAAAATTTGGACCGTACGCAATCTGAGGTCAACAACAAGAAGCAGAAGAAAAAGGCAGCACCAACTATATATTATGCTTCGTAGGTGTTTGCCATCGAGTTATCCTTCGATTCTCTTTCTCTTTCCCTCTTGTCGCATAAGTGATCAATGGTTAAAAATTAATTTTTTTTATTTAATTGCTATAATCGTTTAGATGATCATATTATATGATTCTAGAGTTTCAATGTCGCTTCCTATATCCTAAAGTATGGGTATCTTCACTTAACTACATCATTTGTTGTTCTATTTTATAAGGAGAACACATTCACAAATTTCTCAAGTGATTCGTGAATTGCGGAAAACTGCATACAGGGTGCCTATGGCTGTGTTGGTAGGTTGAATCCATTTCTTTGACATCACTGTTATTGATGATCTGAACTCTCAAATTTGTTTTCTGATAATATTTCGGGTTCTGCTAAGTAATTTACTTTTTGTTTTTTGCATTTTAACTGATATGAATGAAGTTCGTGCAAATACCATATCGTTCAGTATCATTTTGAAGAATTTTATTATTCACTAATCCTCTAAATTGATGTATTTATATACCCCCACCTTCCTTCAAATTTTAAATTTCCGCTGCAGATATTTTCAAACTATCATTAATAATATGCTGATAATTTTCTTTTGTTTATGAAGCATATTATATGTCAATTTTAAAACATTTTTGATGGGATACAATGAATATCCAATTATATCTTAAGGATTTTAAGTTAGGAAAGGTTTTTGTAAAATGTCATACCGTATTAGAACTCATTCTTAGATATGCATTGAGATATGTTATTTTCAGTATAGTGATGTGGATTTAGCTGAGTTTTTCCTACCTCTTGTTTCCAGGCATCACGGAAACATTACTGCACCAATACAAATATACTTGGCAAAGAGAATATTGATGAAGAATGGTTGCTTTTACCTCTAGAATACTTTATGATAATTTCTTTTCATCTTCCATGTTCATTCTGATGTATTTCATAAAATGTTCTCAGTATACAATCTTCATACTGATATTTTTGTAAAATGTTCTCAGCAAACAATTATTGAAAGATCAGGCAACCGGGTGTCCAGAATTCAAGTGAGTCTATGCTTATCCACTCATTCTTGCGGTCCATTTTTATATCACTCTTCCTGAAGTAACAGAAACGAGAAATTTACAATCTATGTAGAAATGCACATAAAGTCAAAGGTCATCCCTCTCTTCAGAAAGGAGGATGCAATGAAGTGCATGACATAGAAGATCTTGTAAAAGTTGGACAAGTAGTGAAAGGTTTGGCTTTTTTGTTGTTACTTTTGTCTTTTATTTCTTTATTTAGAAGTTAATGCTAAGCTTTGTTGAGTACAAGTCTTACATTGTCTCAACTTTCAGGTTGCTCTTATTATGCTGCTCGTTCTATGTCAGATGATGCAGAGTTGGTATTTTGTCCATATAGCTACATCATTAATCCAGTCATTCGGGCAGCAATGGACGTGGATATTAAAGGAGCTGTAGTGATTCTTGATGAAGCTCAGTGAGCTGTTCATCCTTTTCTATTTAATTGCAAAGTCAATGAGACAGTTCCTGGAGTCCAGTTTAATTGAAGTAGCATTTTTTTAGATTATATATGGATTCCCAATCTCTTTCCCACACCTTCAGTTTTATGCAAGCCAATATAGAGCTTAATGACAATTTTTTATGGTTTGGTTGTAGTGTATGTTTGTTTTTCTCTTTAACTGGTCTTACATGCTTGCACTTTGCAGCAATATAGAGGACATTGCTCGTGATTCTGGCAGTGTGGATATTGAAGAGGATGTTTTGGATAGTATGTTGTGAACCTTATAGCTTTTGTTTTCATTCTTAGTAATAATGGTTCTTAACTATTTGGTCATACCTTTGAAAGAATTACAAATGGAGCTCCAGCAACTTTGTCCTATAAATGCCACAATTTACCGACCACTATATGAAATGGCGCAGGTAATCAGATTAGATATTGGGTTTGAAATGTTTTACTTGTAAGTTTATCCCTAGTGACTGTATATCTACAATGAGTGATGCATATGCGTAGGGCCTTACTAGTTGGATGGAAGAGAAGAAAAACATGCTAGAAAAGCGTGATTTTCAGCACTATGTATCGTGGTAAGTTAAGGGTTTTGTCATTCTGCATGCCTTCTTCATTATTATTCTGTGAATGCAGTTATTCATTTTGTAATTTGTATCCTGAGGCTCTATAAATCCCAAGTATTATAGAAGTTGTGTGCTATATTTTATGTAAACATGCTTTAAAGAAAGCATTATATACAACTATAAATTGATTTAAGTTTCAAATAACCTCTAGCTTCAACCAAATTAATTTGCTGGGTAGAGCCTCATAAAGTAAAAGTTATAATTTATGAACTATATCTGGGATTTAATAACATAAGCCTTTTGTATGTATAGTTGGACTGGTGATAAAGCTTTAAGAGAGCTTGAAGAAGCAAATATTTCGAAACAGTGCTTCCCTATTTTGCTAGAATGTGCAACCAAGGTATATCATTTATTAGACATTTGGATTATTCTTACCTTTGCATGCCATTTAACTTGATAATTTGTTCAAGGCAATCAAAGTTGCTACAGACTTGGAGGCAGAAGCACCTCATTTAAGTGGCATGTCGGTGATAACACTAGAAGGTATGGTGTTATGGTTTTTAATATGTGTGGTACTGTATTCAGTTATTGACCTCAAAATATTTGTTACTATGATTTTTATTGATCTCATTCCAGGTTTATTCTCATCACTAACATATTTCTTCTCAAGAAATGGTTCTCACATGTTGGACTACCAGCTTGCTCTTCAGCGCTATGTTAGAAAAGATACTGGTAAGTAGTTGCAATTGCAGACAATGATATCTAGCAAAACTGCAAATGACATGGTTTTTATTCTTATGTAAGTGAATAGAAAATGGTTAGGAAAAAGGTTATATAAATAGATTGTTTTGGGTTTCTAATTTCAGATAATAGAATCTAAATATACAAATTAAAATCATTTATGTGGAGACAACATTTTAAAAGGTTTGTTTTTATCTTAAACATGAAGGATTAACTTGGTTTTAATCTTTTGACCCTTGTAGCGATACTGAAACAGATGGTGTTAGGTACTGCACAGGATAATACGATTATAAGAACTTAATTTATTATTAATAAAGGAAGAAAAGGGAGATTTGAAACGAGAAACTCTGTATTTAGTTGGTGAAGAGAGATGATGGCCCTTTCCTCTTTTTGACTCGGCAACCAATTATTGGTTAAATTGATTAATGGCATTGTGGAAGAAGGTTCTTGTTGAAATTGTAGTGCATTAGGTATATAGGGAGGAAGATAGATGAAAGAGAATAAATATTTTTTGAGATGTATCACATGTTCATAAAACCTAGATCCCTAACCCCAATTTATACTAATCATAATACTATTGAATTAAGAAACCAAAGTATGGTAAGATAGGGATGTGGTAACAAATTCTCAGAGATAATGATAAAATAAGGTAACTAATCTTAGAAAAGAATATGTCATAGGATATTTTTAAATATTTTTATTTATTCTAACACTTCTCTCAAACTAGGTGTGTGAAAACTTCTGAGGCGTATCGAATTTTCAAAAGGGATAGGTTTATATTAAGATTCCACTTTGAACCCTCATTTTTTTAATCAAGTCTTAGATGGGCTTACAAGTGACGTACGAAAGACTATTCTTGCGTACATGTTCTTTGCAAATGACATCTGGTTGAGGATTCAAGAGGAAAACTTGAGCTGTGTAGAAGTAAGATAGAGTATATGCATCGTAAGTTTAGCAAAACACAAGATAATCATGCGTTATAAGTTAAAAATGAAAATGATATTATCAATGTTGTCAAGTAATGGCCATGGCAAATGTCGGTGGTGAGTTTTGCCAAAACTGCCACAACCATGGCGGATCTACGAAGGTGGTGCCATGATGGCCATTATGAGCCTGGTGGCCATGGTAAAAACAGCGACCATGGTGGAAAATGTTAGTTTTTGAGGAAAAAATTGAAATGGTCCTCTAACTGGACCTGGTTCAAAGTGACTCAAGAACCTCAAAGCATACTTATCAATAGTGTTGCGATCACAGTGGCACGGACTGGTGGTTGGCTGCGAAATACTTATTGTCGTGGAGGTTGAGCCCTAATCGCAAACGAATGTTTGGTGAGGGTGTTTGTTTCCGAAGCTCGATGGAGAAAGGGAGCGAAATTATGATTCTGCCCGTGCTCCAGTGTCGTTTGGGCCTTTTTTAAGGGAAAAATGGACTTTTTGTCCCACTTAAAAGTTTTTTCCTTATCTTCTTGAGCAACCATCCTTCTACCCGGTACTATGCCTATATCCTCTCTCATGCTCTGTTTTTCTTCCTTCTCTCTGAAGCCAACTTTTCCTTTACAATTTTTGCCGGAGAAGTCCTTTCTTGCTATTTTCTGGCCACTCTGTGAATGGAGGGGCCTGTTTTCCGGCATCTATTTTTCATTTTGCTTCTCTGTGCTCTATTTTTCTGCTTCAAACAATGTTTTATTTGTCACTCTCTGTGCGTCTATTTTGCTTCTTTTGGTGCTCTGTTTTTCTTCAAAAGGTGCTGTTTCTCTCTCAATCTGCATCTTCTCCAAAGGCTGTGTTCTCTTTTCCATCATTTTCTAGCCATGGTATTATCCTTTTTTACACAGCCTAGAAAACTGGGCCATGTTGTGTTTTTCTATATATTGTAGTGTTTTTTATATATTTTTGTAGATATAATATATATATTATACTATTTTATTATGATTGACATGCTTCTGTCATAAGCTACCATGGCATCCGCCATAATTTTATGGCAGTTTTTTGGCCGTCTTCCATGACTTGCCATCCGCTATTAATGACATTGGATATTATGCTATAAGTTTTTCAGGTTGTACTTGAGATCAATTCTTCAAAATGATGGGGAAAATAATTGCCAATGTTGGATAGGCACACAGTGGATGCCCCTCAAAATGCTATAGCGGGATAGAGTACAGTAGGATAACTGCAATTTTAAAATTTTTATGAGTATAAAATATATACGTGCAAATAATTATATTTATATAAATGCTAAAAAAATATGCATAAATACAATATGAATAATTATCAACAAAAGGCATAAAGAGAAGACAGAAAGTGGATTTTCTAGGAGAACACAACAGAGGCAGTACTGTAGAATCATAGAATAGAGAGAAGAAAGGAAGTGGATTTTGAAAGTCATCGAAGATAAGTGACTTCCCTGGATTGTTGCAAAGCAGAACAAAGACAAGGATGAGAGGAGGGAGCATTGAACAGAGAAGGAAGAAAAAAAGTGGGGTTTGTCATGTGTCTGCTGCAATTGCAAAGCAGAACAACGATAGAGATAAGAGGACAGGGTGTCCAACACAGAAAGGAAGAAGAAAAAGCGTGGGGAAAAGTGAGGTTAGGTCTGAAAACTGATAAGACTATTTCGTCGTTAAAAAAACCTCTAGACTGTTGCATCTTAAGGGTAAAGGAAAAATTAGCTTATTTCTAAAAGATTAGAAAACTTTTTTACCCTTAAACCCTAAAATTCCTTCATTTTGAGGGTAGAAAAAGGAAAGTTGCTATCTTAGGTTCTATTGCGCTGCGAATACAGCTGTGATGGTTGTGATGGCTGCGATAGCATAAACGTTTGCTATGCTAGATCTGTGGCAGCTGAAGGCCGCTACGACACACATTGCCGCTATTGCGTGCTATTGTTAGTGTTGCAGATTTTAAACTCATTAAAAAATTTTCAACTAACAGGTTAGTATATCTATCAATTGTAATAAATGAGAGGGTTTTAGACCCTCCCAGTATCGTTCCCATAGAGATTATAATCACAACCACTTTTTACTAATGTTCCTTGAATGTCAAGCAATTCAATCGATAAGGGAATTTGGATTAAAAAATAAGTTGATTTATATGGATGAAAGTCCGAGACTTGGGTTCTTTTTTTGTGATTACCTGTATGTTCTTCAATTCAATTTTATTCAATGATATTAAAATAACTACCAATCATCTAATCAATTGTTACCACTCCAATTATCATGTGATAATGACGTCATTGAGTTACTAATTTAAGAATAATAACATAAAACAATAATTATAATTGACAAATAACATTAAACATCATATAATCAAATTGGGGTTTAAAAGGGGGTTACATCACAAGAATTCACTTCAGTCCCATTATGAGGTATTTAGTTATATATAGTCATAAATATGAAAACAAAAGTAACTAGACACAAAACGTCCATTATAATAAATAATAAAGAAAGAAAAATTTCCGTGATTGATCTACTTTAATAGTACAACTTTGTGATGAAGAAAAAAAGGAGACAGAGGGATATGTTGAGTGACCAATATCAAGTGTGTAAGGTCTGTTATATAGCGTGTATAATCCAAAAGGATAATAATTTGACCTTTAAAAGATATAATTAATCCTCCAAAACAGATGTTTTACCCTCTAAAAATATGACTTATTCATAGGGAATATATAATTTTCTATTGTTAAATTCAAATTTCAGATTTAAATTCAAAATTCAAAATTCAAAATTCAAAATTCAAATTCCAAATTTAAAATTTAAGTGTCATACCACATTTTGAAATCAGTTTAAATTCAAAATTCAATTTTAGAATCCACTCATTGTTTGCTCTTCAACAACTTTCTTTGTGATTTGATTTCTTTTAACAAAGTTGTATTGTTAATACTTTTAACAATATATTTAATAGAAACTTATTTATTTTAAAGGGTAAAATAACAATTATAATAAAAAAAAAAGGCTAAAATCTTTTAGATAAATTGACAGAATGACAATTTATCAGATCACTATAATGGAGAAATTAATGATTATGTTACTCAGAATACAAACTAGGTGGTTAAAGTGGAGAAAGATATCAAGAGTTATTTATAATTGTAAAATATCTATTAAGATGAAAGAAAAATTTTATCGTATTGTAATATGACTAACTATCCAGGCCTCAAAGGAGCAACACAAGAAAAAGCACGAGAAATGATAGGACAAACAATGATAATATATGTGAGAATAATAGCACATGTAGTGGAAAAGATGACGAAAAATTGTCTAAGGTGAAATGGTCACGCGTAGTGAAGACCCTTGGAAGCACAGGTGAGAAAAGTAGATAATATGATTTTTAATTTGGTAAAAAGGGACATAAGGAGACCTAAAAAGTACTTTAAAGTAAGTTATTAGAGAAGACTTTTTGAATAATAATATTTCTAAAAATTTTATCCTTGATTTAGTTCAATGATGTCGTGTGATCCATGTAGTCGATCTCACCTAGTGGGATAAGACTTGTGATATTTTTTGTTGTTGTAACACTTCTCTCAAACTAAAGCTTCTTAAGCTTTTAGCTTGTTACAAGTCAAACAATAAGACAGACATAAAAAAATTAAGGTAATTCTCTCAGACCCTTGGGGCCAGTTGATACTTTTAGAATTTAAGTTGCGGGACCAGCTATTTTTTTTTAATTTTGAAAAACTTGCAAAGACAAATAAATCTCTACAAAATTCATAGGCATGGTTGTTAAACTCGCATTTTAACTCGTAAACTTGTACGAGTTTATGAACTTAGGTAAGAAAATTGTGTTAACTTGCATGTAAACTTGTTTTTAGGTAAACTTGGATAAACTTGTGAGTTTACATTTGATTTTGAGTTTAACAAAACAAAGAGAAAATCATTTTTTCTTACCAAAATAATACCATTTAGTATCAGGGCACCACTTTTCTTCCCTTTCTGCAAGTTGTGAAACATAACTTTTACAATTAAGGGTACCAAAGTCACATTATCATTATATGATTTG